TCCACATCAGCTTGTGTCTTCCATCATACTTTCTCCTCACAATTGCAATACAGAGCTAAGAAACAGTGACAACATAACCTCTCATCCTTTCAGGGATGAATCCTTTTACTTTTTAAGAGCTCTCCTACCTTCACTGATACTGTCTGTTCTTGCTACAGTATGATCCTCTCTCTGCTCTGCTAAATTTTGGACTTCATCTCAAGGGATGTGCTTTGCTTAAATTTTTCAAAAATGAATCTTTTTTGTGCACAAGTATCTTTAAATCTTGTACACAGCACTGTGTATATTGTATAACACACTCCAGTAACCTTATTGATGTCTTTTGCTTTGGCTTGCCTGGTTGCCAAAATGTTTATAAGGAATTGTCAAACAGTGGCCTTATAATTTATATTTTTGTTATACTGCATGTCCTTACATTTGGCACACACAGTGGAGTAGAATTTCTCAAAACACAAACACCATTGGTCCATGTGAATTTGAATTGCCTGGAGCACTCCCCTAGTACCTTTCTCAACCAAATAAAATAAAATGGAAAAAGGTAAGAACATAAGACTATGAATCTGAAACTACATGTTTAAAGTACCTGTATAGTCAGATCATAGCTAAAAATCTGAAGTATAGGTTTAGGTTCACCACTTGCTAGATAACACAGCTTTAAACACAAACTACTTTTTCACAAGTATGCAGAGTTTAACCTTCAAAGACCTACAAAATTGGTAGAAGCAGAATTTATAAATCCAGTATTCAAATGAGGTAATCACTGTAGAGACAAAATTTTAATCTAGGCCTTCTGATAACCGCCATTTACTGATTTTTCCAGTATATACTTGTCAGGAACTAAGAATAGCACTTTCTTATACCCAGTAAATAACAACTGAATAAGATTATAAATGCACAGTATAAGAGTCATTATTGACTAGCCCAGCTGCTGCCTTAGATCTCAAATCTAGGCACGGACAAGATCGGGCGCATAGTATGGCCGTAGACTAAAATGCAGGTACAAAGAATTTTAAGTCTTGGAAGCAGGATTGGCAGAAAAGTCTATTCAGTGATGTCAGATGGTGGTTTACAGAACACTTTATGTCTAGGGGACTCTGCAGTTAATTTTAATAATTATTTGTGGTCAAAATGACATACGTTAGTTTTTATAATTTTGTTTTCCTCTGAACCTATTCATAGAAACAGAAACTCTGATCATGAAGCAGGGTATAGAGCACATGCCTATAATCACAGTACTCTAGGAGAATATGGCAGTAGACTGCAAGTTTGAGCTCAGATTAGGCAACTTAGTGACTGAACAAGATCCTGTCTCAAAATTTTAAAAAAGGGAAGGGGGTGAGGAATCTAGCTCAGTGTGAAGGTCCTGGGTTCAAAGTTCATAAAACAAATAAAACCTCCATAAGAAACAGAACAAATACACATCTAAGATGTAGCTGAGATCAGAAACGAAATCCAGGACCCTCACCCACAACTCTTAAAAACAATTTAAGATTCTGAAATTCAAACTTGCATCATAAAAAAGAGTGAATTCTTATACCAATTATAATTGACAACTATGAAAACCACAAATCCATGATTGATCTGGCTCAAAAGACAGGTATTGTGCATATCACTGCTAAACATGTCACAGAAGAAATGGTGAATCTGTGTAGATACTCTTACCTTTCAAAAATGTCAGACAATACCTTACCAGAGCCCAGAAGATCAACTGCCACTTTTCTACTGACCTACTGTGACCTGAATAAGCATTTATATTTTTTGGTTCTCTATAACTGTCTATGAGCAGTGTGCTGGTAAATGTTTTTTTGTTGGTACTGGGGATTGGACTTGGGCCCTTGTGCTTTAAAGGCAGGCGGTGGAACCACTGAGCCAAATCCCTGGCCCTAATGTTTAACAACTGGTTAAAAAAAGAGAGACATGATTTGCAGCATTTTTAGATTTCTAGCACATACACTTCTATGATATACAGTTTTAAAATATTAATGTGATATCAACCACTTTGCAATATTCATGAAAATTTAAAAATATTCGGCTCTTGTAAGTTGGTAAGAGCTAGTAATGGATACCACTGGTTATATAAAAATGCTTATAATGAAACAATAAAGTCAATAAAATAATAGACCAATAATTTTATTTTTCTATGAGGAACTATGCAAATACTATTTTTGGAAATAACAGATATTTTAGAGAGGAGTAGGTACTTTGGCTATTCTGTTTCCAGTTAAAATGGAAGTCGGTTATCAAAATTTTTGGTGATAAAGATACTAGGTAAAACTGGGGAAGGGGGATGATTTAAACAAAGGGAACAAAATAAAACAAAGTATTACTCAATTTCTTTAAATAAAGTTTCACATAGTTGTATTAGTTACTTTTTTCATTTCTGAGACAAAATACTTGACACCTACAAGTTAAGAGAGGAAAGGTTTATTTGGCTTACAGTTCATAGAGGTTTCAGTCCATAAATGACTAGCTCCAAATCAGAGTGGCAGGCAAAGACAGCAAAAGAAAAAAGGGACCATAATAGCATCTTTTTGTCCCTTTTATCTTATACAGACTATTTAGGGCAGACAGCACTTGTGCCCTTAATCTGAGTTCTCCTTGATCCTAGCACTGAATCATGAATCAATCCCAGCATCACATTCTAGATCCAGCCACCTCTGAAAAAGCCCCAACTAGGACCACAGGAGGATTCTAAACACAAACCATAACAGTAGTCAAAAATTAAATGAACAAATAATGGTAAAATAATGTGGATTTGTACCTGTCTTATTACTAAAAATGTCTTAACTGTTTAAAAACATGTCTTTACTTAACTGTTTTAAAATAATCTCCTTGGGTTAGGCATGTAGCTCAGTGGTAAAATGCTTTCCTGGGCATGCAAGCAAGATCTTGAGTTCAATCCCTAGCACCACAGGAAAAAAATCAACTCACTGCTTTTTTATTCATAAAACTTACTTGACAGCCTGGTAATCCAGTATCTCTGCTGTACAGGGAAAATGAGCCTCTTTCTGATGTTTTTCCTACAGAATGAAAAAAATAACTTTATATTAAAAATCATTTATTGACAATTCAACTTCTATACTATTCATGGTAATTATCTAGAAGTTTGAAAATTGAAAAACTTAAAAGTTCTAGAAAGCTTACTTTAAATACAGTCAGTTTAATAGTTAATTCCTTCTTTACATAAAAGAGCATGTAAACACCTTATTGTGAATGTGTAATGGTGAAAATACATCCAAAAGAATGAACAAGAACAGATGTTTAAATAGTCCACAATATAATCCATGTACCCACCAGGGAAAACAACTCCCATATTTGCTTCAAATTGAAACTTTCTCCTTCTCTCTTTTAGAAAGTAAAATATAAGTACAGCTCAACTCAAACCCCAAAGTAATTATTATTATTAAGTTGGTGTGTGTTACTGCCACGCATATTTTGTACTTTTAAAGACAAGAGGTACCTTAGTTCACGAACTAAATTTCTTTTACAATTTTGGAAAAGATGATGTTTGTGTTTGTGTGGGAAAGATGACCACAGTCATGTCTTGACACCTGATACAGTTTGCAAATAAAAACAAAATTCTGTCAAACAGTTGTTTGCAAACAATTTAGTTTGCAAACAAAACCATTCGAAAACTGAGGTACCACTGTATGTTAATACACTCAAATGATATCTATTATTGTTTAAAGTTTAATACACTGAGGCAGATGGGATTATATAGATATACCCTTTTGAAACTTGTCTTTTCATGCAACCTTATGTTTTTGAGATAGGGTATATACTGACAATAGACATTAGGTTCACTCAGTTTTAGTTGTAAAATGTCTCATACAAATAAAAGCAGTTTATTCCTCCATTGAAGGACAGTTTATTATTATGAACAGTGTTGAAATAAATATCCTTTAATATATCATATACACAAGAGTTTCCCCCCAAAATAGCAATAATGAAGTAAATGATGTGTACTGTCAGCTTTACTGACATTGCCATTGTATTCAATGATGTCTCGGTACCAATTTATACCCTTCTCGCTGATGTTTAAGAATTCTTGTGGGAACAGTATTCACTTTTAACATGTTCAATATGGGGCCATAATTCATATGTCTCGCCGCTGGTTAGCTCTGAAACTCCAGTGGTACATGCATGACTGTTCCATCAGGCAGCATGGGACAAGATTTTGGTGCTGACAAAAGATAGCAGAACTCTCACTTATTTTCAATACGTTAGTTAAGTATGCTCAATAAAGTGAGCCTGCGAATATAATACAGCTTTTGATATGGTGTTACTAAATAGTATCTCATAAGTACACATGCTGCTTAAAAAGATTTCTGAAACAGATCACAATTTGATGATGATATAAAAAACAGGCAAAATAAACAAGATGACTCTCCCTTCCAAGGTAAAAACAATAATTGTTTAATTAAATCTGATAATTACTCAAAAGGTTTAAAATTAAGACGTGAAGATGACTGTATAAATGTATAGTTGATTAATTTAAAATCTGTGAAAGTGAGTAAGATGCTCAAAATTGAAAATCTTATAAATATATGTACTAAATATTAGGTCTTTTTCATTAAAATATGCATGTTAAATGAGAACCAAGACCTGTCATGTAAAGGTGCAAGATCCTAATGATGAATGTAAATGTACTGTATACTTAAAATATACCAATAAACTCAATGAGAAATTTAAAAAAAAAGAAGCCATGTACATAATAGAAAGCCACCCCCCCCCAAAAAAATGCATGCTATGCTGACTAACACATGTAAATATCTTAAATCTCTAAGTCTGGCATTTGCTAATTCCTTAGATATAGAATGATCCTCTAATAATAGATCTAGTTATTATGAAACACATTATCAGTTAGGTCCAATAAGGACCTAATTTATTGAGTCCAATAAGGATATTTTAGCATGCATTTTAAAGACAGTTCTCCTGGCTTCAGATCAAGTAATGACAACACACACAAAAAAATGCAGATTTATAAAAAAGGATAATTAAGATAGTTTTACATTCTCACTGTAAGTAAATATATTCCACAGAGAGAACATTAATTTGCCAAATATACTTATGAAGTGAAAAATACATAATTTTTAAAGGACGTGCCTTTTAAAGGAAGACTTTTCATAAGAGTCAAGGTTATGCTTTGTGGTTTAGGGTTCTTCTATTGGATAACCTGACATAAAAAAAATTAAAGGATTGTAATGCATATAATTCTGGTACACATCCCTCCTGTAGTCTCATCAGAATGGACTAGAGACTCCTGGAAATGAAGACAGCAGAAACCAAAAAGAAATGCCAATTCAGAGTAACTGCCAGAGAAAGGTTTACTGGGGGGGGGGGCCTAAATTTTTAAAAAAGCCTAAATGTGGAGGTATAACATTTTTCAATGAGATAAGTTAACTCAGAATATATTAAAATAATCCTTTTAAGAACTTATCTTTCTTTAGTTTTTAAAAATTACTGCCTGTATCAACAAACTCTGCCTCATATACTTGGTAGGAGAGAATGTGAGACTACACCAACATTTTAAGCAAATAAGTTAAGACTACAACCAGTGCCTTTAGTCATTTACCACAATATACTATCAGCAGATGTCATAATCACAAAGCTCTTTCTGCTTTGCAAATTCCTCCTGAAATACTGCTTTTTTTTTCTTTTTCTTTTTCTTTTTTTTTTTTAAGTCAAGATCTCTATGTTCTGGGAAGGCCTCCAACTTGGTTTGCAGTCTAGACTGGCCTTGGACTCTCCATCCTCCTGCCTCAGTCTCCCAGTGTTGGAATTACAGGTATGTGCCACCATACTTGGCTCTGAAACATTGTTTTAACAATCAGCACACATTTAAATCCATGGTATAATCATCTTATAGGGTACATATATATCACACTGTATCCCATAAATATGCATAACTACCTAAAATTAAAAACAGACAAAAAGGCTTAGAGTTAAGTAACAATCTACAGTGTATTGTATTTTCATTTAAGCATGCTAGGAAAAACCTTTTAAAAACCACGTTGAGGAGGGAAAGGAACAAAGCAATATATGAATATTAGTCCTACATTTTTTTTTGGTAGCGGGGATCAAACTCAGGTCCTTGTGCTTGCAAAGCAGGTGATGGAACCACTGAGCTAAATCCTTGGCCCAATTAGTCCTACTTTAAAACATCGTTTATTAGTGCCTACTAATGTTAGAAAAGTATTGGATTTCAATGTGGTGTTTTATACATGTGTATATTTTGACCACATTTTATGCCCCAACTGCCCATCCTTATATCCCCTCCCTCTCCCTCTTTCCCTTCCTCTTGTCTAATAAAGTTTCCCTTTTATCTTCTTGGAATCTTTTTCAGATTCTACATATAAGAGGAAACATATGATACCTGTCTTTCTGAATCAGGCTTACTTTGCTTAGTATGACTGTTTTCAGTTACATTCATTTTCCTGCAAATGTCATAATTTCTGTCTTCTTCATGGTAGAGTAATTAACACTCACTGTGTATATATACTACAATTTCGTTATCTATACATCTGTAGATGGGCATCTAGGCTGGCTCCACTTCTTGGTTGTCATGAATTGTACTGCATTATATTTAGGTATGCTGGTTTATGTCAACTTTAATTCTTTAGGGTATATACCAAGAAGTGGTATGACTAGGTCATATGGCAGTTCTATTGTTATTCTGAAGAACCTGAATTCTGATTTCCATAGTGAATGCACTAATTTATATTCCCATGAGCAGTGTACACTATCCCCACCCCCAATTTTTTTTTGGGAGGGGTGCTGGGGATCGAACTCGGGCCCTTGCATTTGCAAGGCAGGCTGCAGAACCGCTGACCTAAATCCCCAGCCTCCCAAACCCTTAAAGTATTCATTGTTTTTTATATCCCTGATGATAGCCATTCTGACTGAAGTGAGACAGAATCTCAATACAGTTTTGATTTATAGTTCTCTAATTACTTATTGCTTGTTTTACTTCTTTTGACAAGTGGCTTGTACAACTCTGCCCATTTTGATTGGGCTATTTGACTTTTTTCTTTTTAGTTCTTTATATATTACAGATAATAATTCTTAGTTGGAACAGAAGTTTACAGTCCCATTTGTTGATTACTACTACTATTATTTCCTGTGCCACTGGAGTTTAACCAGAAGTTTTTGCTTGTACCTATGGCTTTCAAGTGTTTTCCTGGTGGTTTCTAAGTTTTAGGTTCTATATCTAGCTTTTTGATCCTTTTTTTAATAAATGAGAGATAAGGATATAGCTTCAGTCTCCTACATATAGTATATCCAGTTTTCCCAGATTCATTTGTTGAAGAGGCTGTCTTGCTCCCAATGGATGTTTTGGCTGCTTTGTCCAGTGAATCAGATGGCTGAAGCTGAATGGGTTTCTGTGTCCTCTGTGCTGTTCCACTGGTCTACATGTCTGTTTTTATGCCAGAACCATACTTTTGTTACTGGGGGTTTGTAGTATAGTTTGAAAACAGGTATTGTGATGCTCCCAGCCTTGTTCTTTTTACTTAGGACTGGTTTTGCTATTCTGGATCTTTTGTGCTTCATATGGATTTTAGGGTATTTTCTACTTTAATGAATATCATTAGAATTTTGATGGGGGTTGCACTGAATCTGTAAGATTACTCTTGGTAATGTGGCCATTTTAACAGTATCAATTCTGTGGATCTATGAACAAAGGAAATCTTTCCATCTTTTAGTGTCTCTAGTTTCTTTCTTCCATGTTTTATAATTTTCATTGTAGTAGGGATCAGCCTGCTGATCCCTAGATATTTTGTTTTTAAAAAGCTATTGTGAATGGAAATGTTTTCAATATTTCTTTCTCCACCAGTTCATTTATTGGTATATAGAAAAGGTATTGCTGACTTTATATCCTGTCTTAGCTATATCTTTATTAAATTACAATTTTCAAATAGAATCTTTGTTACATATGGGGAGGCTACCCAATTAACAGACTAAGAAAATGCAGATTTCTAATTTATTTTCCTATATCTATCAAAATTTTTAAACCTGTCCC